AACAAAACAACTCAGAGCTTTACTTTTAGGTCAACACAGAGCGTGCCCAGAAGAGGAACTGCATCAGTTTGACCTGGCTCGCCTAGTGCCTGTATAGCTTATGTGCTTCAGCTGGGCTTTTTGGTGCTTTTATCTAATAGCTGATTGAATGAGGTCAAACTGATGTGATTCTTCTTCCAGTAAAGCGCTGGGTTGTGTCCCCCGCCACCTCCCATGTGTCCCAGTGCCCTTACAGACTAGCTTACCTGACTTCAATACCTGGGAAGTACTGAGAGCAAATAGTAAAAAAATTAAATTTGTAAATACTTGGAGGATAAAAAGGTGATCACTAGAAGTCAAGAAGTATTTGTTAAACACAAAGAATGTCAAACAAATTTAAATTTCCTTCTTTTCCAGAAAAACTGTTTTGATGAATAAGAGAGATGAGATGGCCATATGCTTGTTTTAAATATGGCTCGACTCAGTCCCACTTAAATGAACTGGAGAAATGTGGGTCAAACCAAATTACCATTAAGTGGATACAGAATTCGTTCAAGAACCGCAAATGTTACCATCAGGCTGGCAGGAAGATTCAAATTCATTCCACAGGGGTTAGTACTGTTTAACATTTTTATTAACAACTTGGATGTAAAGAAAGATAGTATATGGCAACTAATTTACAGATAACAAAACTGAAAGCTGCAAAATACTTTGAAGGATAGGATTAAAATTTAAAAGACATTTTGCTGAAATGGAGAACTAGACAGAAACAAAATGATATTCAACAGACACATATAAGGTATAAGGGAAGAAAAACCAAATGCACCTATACAAGTTGGAAGAAGAATGTCTGCACTGCCATCCAACCAGTTAAGAGTAATTTAGAAATTATGCTGGACCATAGATTCAATATGATTTAGCAATACTGTGCTATCATAGAGAAAACAAATGGTATATATTAATAGATATAATAATCAGTATAAGTGAGACACTACAGTACCATTCTACTTAGCTAGTCTACTCTGCACACAGGGTGGGGTCCCACAATTTAACAAGAATGTAAGCCATATGAGGTTGGTTGAAAGATTTAGGTATGTTTAGTTCAGAGAAAGAGAGACAGCAGGATGGGACAGAAAATATAATAGCAGTTTTCAAATATTTGAAAGAACATTTTCCCCTCATTTTGTTTCCCTTGCTTCAGAAGGTGGGATGCAAGGCCATAGGCAAGGCAGATTTAAATTACGTCTTGGAAGTTTTTTAATTGTAAAACCAGAAGAACAATGGGATGAGTTTCCTAGGGAAGTTGTGTAAACCTCCTTTATTTCTTCTTTGGAGATTTTCAAAAAGAGGCTGGTAGGCACTCATCCAGGTTAATTAAGGATTGCAAATCCTGTATTATCAGGGGTGTCAAACAGATGACCCATGAACCTGTTCTGTCAGGCTTGCCAAGCCACCTGAAGTTGGGGGTGTGGTTAAGAGATGTGGTTTGCTGCAGAATTCAGAGCCCTTAAGCCCTGGCTGGACATGCCCACTGGCAGCAGCTTGGTCCTCCTCTCACCCCTGCTGCTGGCCATGTGAATCCAGTCTGGGGCTCAGGATGAGTTTGACACCCTGGCTATATATATACTGGGAGATGAACTAAATGAACCTTGATGTCCCTTCATTTCTATAATTCAATATTAAGACATAAGAATTTTAAAATGAGTTCTCAAGCACACCATTCAGCATCATTTTCTAAAAATTCGTTATCTTACACTACACGTATTGTTCACAATGAAAGTCTTTAAAAGCACATGACAATTGTAATTATAATTGAACAAAATTGTCCGTTTGCTTGATCCTATAATGCTAAAACAGTATAAGCAGCATGCAAAGTACATAATTCTCAGTATACAAATTATTTATAGTAACTATAAAATACAAAACTATTCATAATATAAAATGTTAAACACAAATGGGAACTGGAGCCATGAACACAAATTAAAATATTTAAAAAAGTCGACAATACAATAATGCGATAGGGGTAAGGATTTAAATGGTTATTAAATTATTTTTCATAAGAAGCAAACAGTGCCTCATTCTATTAGGTATTTTTAAAGATTTAAGGATACTTAAGGATATCTATTAAGATAAAGGTGTTAAGATTTAAGGGCCTTATTTTGTTCCGCTATTCCCAGACTTTTCTCCCACATCATAAAGACCATAGGAATAACTATGAAGCACTTACCTGTATGTAGACGAATATGAACTTTTAAACTTCCTGAGGTGGAAAAGCATTTCATACAACATTGACACTTAAAGGCTTTAATGCCAGTGTGCGTTTTGATGTGTGCTGTAAGGGTACTCTTTACAGCAAAGGCGCGGAAACACTGGGGACACTTGAATGGCTTCTCATGAGTATGAATGCGAATGTGACGCACTAGATCACTGGGTTTTTTAAATTCTTTAGAGCAATATGGGCAAACATGCCACCTTATTCCATTCTCTTCACGGATGGAACCTAAAATAAACAACAAATAGTGGTGTTATTAATAAATAGCAATATTAACAACAGCAACAACAACATGCCAGTAATAGAGAAGGTAAAAAGTAAAAAAATAGGTCTGTAGCAGGGGTTGACAATGTTTTTGGGCAGAGTGCCAAAAACACCCACAACCTCGACTTGTAAGATGTTGGTATGCCAGGGGTGGGTGGTGGGGGAGCCATGAGAGGCCTGATCCTCATTGTGGCAGCGCAGCCCCAGCCCCTTCCCTACTGTTTGCCCCAAGGGTTATGCCAGAGCATGCCAGAGCCAAGGGTTGCCTACCCCTGGTTTATAGTACATCTTACTTTACATCTTGGCGAAAAAGAGAAAGAGTAAATGTGTACATGTAAAAACTATTTACTCTAAATTACTAATTTACTCTGAATTGCTAATTACTGAATTATAACCCTCCTGGAATCGCAATATAAAAAAGTAGCATGAAAACATGAAATTGGGGACTAATTTGTTTTTGTGTGTTTAAGTAAATCATTTAAAGTGGTCTCCAGAATAATAAGTGGGCAAAAAATTACTACCATCAGCCAAGGCCTAAAACCATTTCGTTGGAAGCTATAATTCTACTCAATTTAGAAACAAACAGACATTATAAAACAAAATTCAATCCAGTTGCGCAAAACAATGATGCAGAAATGAGGGCGATTACATAGGCTAGTTTTCTTTAAAAAATAAATAAATAAAATAAATCAATGGGAGTTTGGGTTCACTACTGGTCTACTCTAAAATGTCCACTCTTTTCTAGTATACTTAAACATTGATAGAAATCTGCAATTAACTGGTTACTACCATTAAGTGGTTACTCTGACACTGAAAGCTTTCTGTATTTCCAAATGTTAAAAGACTTTTTTTTTTTTTTTTTTAATAAAAATCAACATACTAAGGAAACAGAGCTTAAAAGAATGTAGATTACAAATTTAAGTTTTCCTTAATACCATATAAAAATTGTCTTGACATTTAAACTCCTGATTACAGCTCATGCTCCATTTCTGATACATCTCCAAAAAGGAAATTCTGTTGCCACAACTATACCAGCTGGTATAGCGACAAAAGCCATATTATATAGACAAGAAGCCTGATGTGTAACTTGCTGAACTGTAGCAGAAATTAAACAATTTATATAACATAAATGTTTAGCGTCTGTGGAATCCACCACCTGCTGTCAGGGTTGTGTCATGTTTCTTTCAAACCAGAAAACAAGGGTCATTAAACCTGAATGATTCCCTGGATAACACTATGAAGCCAAAGGAAAAAAAAAAACAACAGGTTTTTCCAACTCCTCTACAGAAGACTGGAGTTTAGGGCACTAGAATTCCCCAAGAGGAAGATTTGAGACACCCACTGTAAAACCATTCCACAGCACATTAACATCTGAAGTCACACAGGAGCTTCCTCACCAGCACCCAACCTCTTGACTACAGATACGGAACAAAAGGCTGAAGAAAATACCTAACAGCAAAAAAATATATACATTCCAGTGGCTGAGTCTTTACCACCAGGGGCTGACAAACCAGGGCAAAGGTGGCAATGTCTCAACCGCCTATGCACCGGAGCTGGACACTCCAAGGAACTAATGAAGAAGTGAGGCTATATCACTAGTTCAACCACCTTTGACTGTGGCACAGAGCCTCAGACTATGCAATACCTGCTGCTTGAAGGCAAATATACACTGAAAGATCTCACAAAATACAACAAATGAGCACAAGCATATGTAACAAAATGGTCAAAATGTGGTGTAGAGACTCGAGAAGCAGCAGCAGCCAAAATGGTGGCCATCATCATATACATGAGTATATTAAAATATGTTGCTATTTATCATTAAAAATTAAGTTAAATTTGAACCAGTAATCTTAGTGACAGAGTATGTTAGGACTGAAGCTCCCCTCCCAGAGGGTTTATCAAATGCACAGGAACAGTATTTTAATCAACAGGTCTTCAGCCTCTACCACGCTGGAAAATGTAGCTAATTCACATGGAGTCCAAAGTTTCACTTAACAGACAGTGTCCTTGTAAATTTGCAAGGAAATGAGTAAATAAAATTAAATGCCATTGGAAACCTTTCATACAGATCTACAATTTGTTGATGTCTTTAATACAAACTTAAAACCCACAATCCTTAAGTACTGTCTAAGTCAACAGCTAGCTCTCGCATGTCAACCCCCACCCAAAACAAAAAACCTCAGAACTAAACAGAAAAACCACCCCCTCAAAGTTTTCCTTTTAAGCTAAAAAATGAGGCATTCAAAATAGAGGATATCCTACTGATATACTATGTCCAATATCAGATTGCATTTAATAAGGTTATATAATGTAATGATTCTTTGCAAAGTTATATGCATACATTAGCATAAAATGAAATGCATCAAGGAGAAATTAAAAGGAGCCCCCACCACTACACTGCATGGGCATCCCACAAGCAGCAAAAGCCAAGGGGAAACCTGGAGCTCTTGGTTATGGTGTAGAGCTAGACTGATAAGCATGGATCCTGGTTTTCTCTGTTTAAAAATCTCAAATTCTTTGAAAATTTGGAAGCCTACTAGTGGCTCAATCATTATAATAAAATAAATTCTGAATACCTATATATTTTGGCATTTGATTTTGGTTTTTTTATCATGGAAAATCAGAATGCCCCCTGCCCCCTTCACTCACCAAGACATGAGTCCAACTGCAGCTGTCCCCCACCCTGCTGCTTTATGGTGCTGAGCAACCCTGATACTCTGGTGCCCTGTCCTGGCCCCTCACTCCACACCCACAGCCCCCTGGCCCTGCTGGTGTTACTCACTCCCAACTGACAGCTTCCCCAGCCCTACTGGTGTCACTTACTCCTGTCCCAGTGCCCTCCACCCCCCAACCCTACTGGAGCGGGTCCACAGCATGCCAGGGCTACAGAACCTGGCACCTGGTGTGGCCGGAGTGGAGTGCCCCACCCCCTGTGGGCAGCACAGCTGGAGTGGAGCCTGTGGAGGGTGGGGGAGGATGTGGGCTGCCTGCTATGGGCTTGGGGCTCCCCGCCCTGCTGCCCTCCCCTAGAAGCCTCTATGGCCCACCCGCCGGACCCAGCAGGAGAGGTAGAATGGAACAGGGAAGCTGGGTGCTGTTGCCACCACCTCTGGAAGCCCTACACCAGCCATGCCGCCATGATGAAGCATCCCCCTGCCCAGCCAGCAGCTGGGAAAGCAGCGCAGAGTTGTGCCCCCCACTGCTGCTGAGCAGATAGGGTGTGCCTTACCTTGACAGCATGGCTGGTGTGGAGGTCCCAGTGATGGTAGCGGCAGCACTGAGCCTCCCTTCCCCACTCTGCCATCCTGTGCTAGGTCCCATCCGCTGGGTCACAGAGGCCCTCAAGGAGAGGGCAGCAGGGAAGAGTCAGCAGCAGGTAGCCTACATCCTCCCCCACCCTGGGCACAAATCTGGGGTCATGTGACCCCCCCATGGACCCCTCCCCCACAGAGTGCATGCAACAGCATGGAGCCAGCCCCCTGCCATTCTCCCAGAGAAGCCACCCATAACTCTGACCCATTCCCCCAGCCAAGCCCCTTGGCTGCACATTTCCACCCAGGCTGGGAGGTGCTCCCAGCCCCAGCCACCAACCCTGCCCCACATGCCCTCTCTCAATAGCCACTTCAATTCGCTCCCCTAAGCGTCACCTATGCCCTCTCCCCCCACCCCCACCCCTCAATAAACTTACCTGCAGGCAGCTGGAAGAGGTACTTTCTAATTCTGCCTTGCTATATTGCTGGCCCC